GGTTCCAGTATCCCATCTCACGGTATCAGGTAGAAAAAGGTTAACATTTTTACGTTTCTCCTGAGGACTCATTCAGCCTCCACAGCCTTTTTTACTATCCCCTCCCACAGTGGGTTCTAACTTCAAACACACCAGGTCTAAAGATGCCTCACCCTCCATGTTACTATTGTATTAATGTGTTAAATTTGTTTATCATTTCTACATATCATTACTTAAACCTGCACCATGTCACAGATTCAGTACGCCATCAACAAACCAACAAGCTACCTGGTCCCTGACATTTCAGTATCAGGTATCATTAATCTTACTCACTACGATTACGTTCATTCTAAGGCCTCACTTTGCCTTCGTATCTTTCACAAGTAATGGACATTTGTGGGAATTGGGCTTGTCTCAAAATATTTGGACCAACGTTCAGGTCCCTCAACTTACACTGGTTCTTACCCTACAGTTTCGCTGTTACACTCCTTTCCATACGTTCTACATTTTTACACTTGTAATACCAGTGGCACACCTCAGGCCTGCTAGCATCCTTTTACCCCTAGGTTCCTGGACTGGACCTGTTCTTCGCAGTGTATATGTGTATGTATGTGTGTGTGTATGTATATGTATATATATGTGTATATATATATTATATATATGTGTATATATATATATATATGTGTGTATATATATATTTTGAAGTCGCCCTGAACATTGTCTAAATATACAGGACAAACACTCGAGGTCAGTATCTACATACGTTACATACTTCCTTTCTAGAGATAAGCCCTGTCAGGTTAGAGAACTGGCTTTCAGGGTTAGGCACTGGCCCTAGCTTTCCCAAATGATACTGCGGTCCACGAGCTCTACATCCCCACCTCATACACGGAGGTTCAGCCCCACGACCAAATCATAGCTAGCCACCTCGCTCGCTCTTCTTTGGGCTACAGTTAGGGCTTCCCAAGTCACGGCCACACGTTTTGAATCTCTTACTGTCACGAGAGGCCAACATCCTGCCACCTTGTTTGGTGGCCACAAAATCCCCTTGGCCCAAATCATAGGTAGAGCCTCTCACCGCCACTTGGCAATAGCAGGGCCTCACCTGTCACTTGGTCCTAAGTTAATTCTTCGCCTCGGCACTAGCTAGCAGGCCAGTTCTCTGGAGGTCTCATCCCCACCTCTTCGACACCTTACTTATCCAAATCATTATTTCTTTTCAGAATGTCACAAGAATCCATCCCAATAATCGGTCTACTGTTGGACGAAATACCCAGCACACCAGTCAGGCCTGGGTCTCCGAAGGAATCTCTCACCCTTTCTTTGTTCGTTCTATACATCCATACCCCTCATACAGCCCTATTTCGCCACCCAGCAGCTCAGTGCCTTCCACTACAATACTTCTACACATGGCCCTCACCAAGCCTTCACTCCATACGTTTACACATGGCCCACTACAGGCACTATGGCAATTCTGGCCCCTCATTTGGGCAGTTACTTACGTCAATTTCAGCCCAACTTTTGGGCAATTACATACATCTAATTTCTAATATAAGAGGGATAAAGAAATACAATCTTTCATACTACATTCATTATATTACGCCTGACCTCGTTAGGCCCACGTATGTCTTTTCCCTCTCTCGGCACACACCCGAGAACCCGGTACATATCACTATGCTTTTAACATATCCAGGCTTCTTGGGTCTGTCACAGATTTAACTGTTTAGTCCCTCTTACTAATCCTTCATCACATGCACTATACTGGGAGGCGGGCAGAAGGACAAGCGGGGCTGACCATTAATTTCCGGGCAGAGCGCGGGCGAGCTATGACTTTAATGCTGGGGTATGCCATTTTCACTACACACAGGGTATCACACATCCGCTTCATCTGCTCCAGAACTCACACCTAGTCCACATATACAGCCTGTCTGTCACCCATGACATGCCTAACTAGGTAAACACTGACATCCTGGTATACTATCTGCATTTACACCCAGCTGGGCATATGGTAGATTCTGATGCTGGGTTTCTCACAGAGGTATGCCCTAACCTATTATCTACATCTATTGACCCACTTACGGTGGACCACCTTCTCTCCACAGCAATCATATACCGGTTTCACGTTCGGCCCTTTCCGGTCTTAACGTTTTTCTCATCTTGGTGTACCACTCCCAGCCATTCACAGTACCCAAATACGTTTGATCATAGACCTCTTCGCACCGCCCTCTGCAGAAACCCTCTGCTAGCCGCTCCTAAATATATTCAGGTGTCCATTAGTCATCCATGTTCTGGATTAATTTTTGTTGATTTCACGGGTTCACAAACACCTAACAGTATTCACACCACCACAGCCACCCTCCTCCCACCCCCCTCACTTTTTTCAGGTGGTCCCTTTTCCAGGTTTGCTTTCTGAGGCATAGTATTGGACTCCACTACTTTCCAAGCCAGCCTCCCAGACGTTCTGTTCTGCATTAGGAATGGATTTGTCCTGCTCCTGCGGAGTGTTGCGCACAATTGGAGGGAGCTTCGGTTCTGGTTTAGGTCCCTCAACTTTATTGTGCGTATCATTCTGCAGGGTTGGTCTCTTGTCCCTGGGCTACTTAAATTTGCTCCAAGAGGTACCAACCCCTGCCCAACCATTCGGGCGATCCAGCCAGGGCAGTTTTACACAATTGGAGTAGTTTTTCAGCTGCATGGATTGGGATCTCTTCGGTCATTCCCCTACTTTCAAACACTCTCTTTCAATTCACACAGACGCAGCAGCACACACAGGGTTCGCAGCCTTTTTCGTTAGGGACGCCTGGCCCACTGAGTCGGATGCCTTGCCGGCGTTTGGAGAGACCTCTACTTTGTTGGAGATCTACCCTTTCGTGGTGGCCTCCCTCACTCTGCGTCATCTTTGGACCGGAAAGGCAGTTGTATGCTGCTCTGATGATTCCGTAGCCTGCGATTTCATTAGCAAGGGCGGTCATACTCTCCGTTACTGTGGCTGATTCGCAGGCTGATTTGGCAGGCAGCAACCCTTCAGTTCTTTCTGGTCTACATTTACATTCCTGGTGTCCACTACACAGCCGCTGACACTTTCGCACGCTCTCATTTTAAGGTCTTCTTTCAGGCACTCCCTATGATCCACTACATATCATCCAGAATACCACCATTCCATGATCTAATCTTGAACTAAGCACACAATTACACCACGTACAGGTGCGCTTGCTTCAAGCAGTTTCACGACTACTCTATCACTCGCGCCAGGGCCTTGTATATTGTACATGTCACAATTAGAGTTTGCTTGAATCAAGACTTTTGCAGTTAAATATGGTTATTTTTTGCCTTTTTCTCCAAACCTGCAAATCAAGCATCTTTCTTAAACCTCCTATGCTGTCACTCTGCTTTACGTCTCCAAGGTCAACCACACACTATTAGTCCTAATCCACTGCATCACATCTAAACCTTCCATTAAGGTGGAGCTACATCATGGCTTCCTTCTCTGGCCTCTCTGTCACGAAGCGCTGCATCAGCAGCTTCAAGCTCTTACACCCCAGTCTACATCACTAAGTGTCGGGGCCACGGGCAATTCTCGGCGCAGTTACATATATACCTCAATCAGAGTAAAAGCTCCTCACATGGTTTCAGTACCCACGCTGTATAAACTTGCATACGGTGTGTTTTCTTTGAATCCTCTTTTTTGCCCTCTTTTACAGGCCTACTCGTACGTTGGTTTCGGCACACCTCAACCAACTTTGCTTCTCCTTCTACATCCCATTACATAATAGATAAATTCAGTGCACAAATATATATGTGTGTGTATATTAGGGATCGACCGATATCGATTTTTTTTTTTAGAGCCGATACCGATATTCTGTGAACTTTCAGGCCAATAGCCGATATAATTTGCCGATATTCTGTACATTCACCATTTTGGAAAATAAAAACTATTTCTAAAGGTAAATGCACAAAATATACATGCCACGTGTAGTGGATGCAGTGTGTTTAGACAGGGGAGCTGTATGTGTTTGTGTAGTGTGTGTAGTGGATGCAGTGTGTGTTTGTGTAGTGGATGCAGTGTGTGTTTGTGTAGTGTGTATATAATGAAAGCAGAGTGTTTGTGTAGTGTGTGGGTAGTGTGCGTAAAGTGAATGCAGTATATACTAAATGTAAAGTGTGTGTGTTTGTGTAGTGTGTGTGTGTATATAATGAATGTAGTGTGTTTATATAATGCAGAGTGTGTGTGTTTGTATAGTGTGTATATAATGCAGTGTGTTTGTGTAGTGTGCATTATATAAACACACTATGCAAACACACACTGCATTATATACACACACTGCATTATATACGCACACTACACACACACTGCATTATATACACACACACTACACAAACACACTGCATTATATACACAGTGTGTTTGTATAGTGTGTGTATATAATGCAGTGTGTTTGTGTAGTGTGCATTATATAAACACACTATACAAACACTGCATTATATACACAGTGTGTTTGTGTAGTGTATGTGTATATAATGGAGTGTGTGTGTGTGAGGGGGCATTTTTTATTAATTTTTTTTTTTTAATATTTAATTATTTTTGTTGTCCCCCCTTCCTGTTTCATACTTGGCCAGGGAGGGGGGATATAGCAGTCCCTGGTGGTCCAGTGGTATTGGCTGAGCTGGGGGGGCGGAGAGCAAGCGCTTACTTACCTCCCAGCAGCTCCTCCAGCTCCCCAGTGCAACTCTCACGGCCAGCGTGTCGCGCGGAGCGTTGCCATGGTGACCCATGGCAACGCTCTGACGGCCGCGGGTATCGCGAGAGTTGCACTGGGGAGCTGGAGGAGCTACTGGGAGGTAAGTAAGCACTTGCTCTCCGCACCCCCGCCCCCCCTCCTGGACCGCCGGGCTTGTAATGAGCCTGGCGGTCCTCGGAGCTATTATCGGCAATATCGGTATCTGAATTGGCCGATACCGATATTGCAGAAAATACTGAATATCTGCCGATTATATCGGTAAAACCGGTAATCGGTCGATCCCTAGTGTATATATATGTGTGTGTGTGTGTGTGTGTATGTATATGTGTGTATATATATATATACACACACACACACACACACACACACACACTATATATATATATATATATATATATATATATATATATATATATATATATATATATATAATGTGTGTGTGTGTGTGTGTGTGTGTGTGTGTGTGTGTGTGCTTGGGGACCTAGCTCTAAACGCCGGCGGATGGCATAACACGTCCCTGCCGTCCTTTGTGCTTACCCGCTGGCTGGCAATCTCGGTGGGTGGACTTACCTGCCATGCCACAACCTCACAATCACATTGACGGCATAGTTGTCCATAGCAGTGCCAGCAGGGGGAGTGCCTGTAATTACAGGTACTCCCCCTGCTGCCTGAAAAAAGTAAATTAAAAGTTTCAAAAACAGTTTAAAATAAAATATATATACTTAGATCATGTACTTAATATATATATACATACACTGTCTAAGTGTATGTTAATATTAATATATATGATTGATATTGATGAAAAAAAAAAAAATATATATATATATATATATATATATATATATATATATATATGTATATGTAGTGTTTGTGACCAAGTGGCTAATAAAAAAGACTGGACATACCCCATTTGCAATACCTTGGGTTGTCTACTGTTACAAATGGTATTCCATCATGGGGGTAATTCTCATTCCTGGGCTACCATACGGTCTCAAAGGCTACGTAACCAATCTGGCGAATTTCAATGTGAAAAAACTGGAAAATGTAACATGCTATATTTGATTCTGTAACTTCCCAAAACACCATAAAATCTGTACATAGGGGGTACTGTTTTACACGTGAGACATCGCTGAATACAAATAGGTGTATTTTATTGCAGTAAGAGCAAACAGTATTATGACATTCACAGTTAAAATGTCATGTAGAACTATACAATTTCTAAATTTCTTATTTTCTCCAATTTGTTTTTATATTGTATTCATATTAAATTATGTTTCATAGCTGATATTTAATGTTAAACGAAAGCCCTGTTTCCCCTGAATAAAATGATATATTATAAGTGTCGGCGCACTTAATATGAAAGAGGTGAATTACAGTTGAACAGACAGTCAAATTCCAGGTTTTGTGTACGTTTTATTTTGATCACGACGTGTACATCAGTCCTTAAGGGGTTATTCCATCTTGTTTTTTCTCTTTACATTTTAATAGCAAGCTTATGTTTCGTTGCGATTTGCTGAGTAATACATTTCTGGGCAGGTAGGTGGAGTAGTCAGACAGAAGATTGAACGTTTCTGACATGTTCCTGACCCACCTGCAAACTCGTGCTACCAAATAATTTCACCCATTTCATTGAATAACATGAGCTATTAGCACAACGCACATTATTTGCTTAATAAACAGACTCTGTGTGGATTATGGAACCATAAACTGAGTCATAAGACTTAGATTTTCCTATTTAAGCGAAAGAGCTAGACTCACTATTTATTTTCAGTGTTACCCTTTCTTTTCCTTTTTTTGTTTTTGTTCTTTTCAAAGCTCAATCTGTGTCCTACATTGTTTTATGCTTTCCATTTCACTTTCAGTGTGAAAGCAAAGTCTTTTATATACTGCAATCACCTACATTTGTGCAAGTCCACAGAGCAGGAATGTTCTTTTCAAACCATCACCAGTCCAATTAGTCATTATTAAGCAAATCTGTTCACTCAATAGACAGTGGTAGGCTTAAGTGAAGCATGTGAAGAATAAAAAAAAGAAAAGAAAAGCCTATTCATTTTGCATTCACTTAAATAATTTGCTTTTTCCGATGCTTACTTAAAAAAAGAAAAGCCTTCGTAGCAAATAACTATCATGTTAAAATAATGTGTGTGTGTGTGTCTCTGGATTTATGTTAAATAACAAACATTTTATAATCCGTTCATTTGACAGTAAGAAAAATGTTTAAGTTGCGATTGAGAAACAAACTTTATATAGTGTATTAAAATAAACCGGAATCTGCACAGATTGTGATGGCATATTTATTACATTTAAAAGAGATAATATAGTGAGGAAATAATTAATAGAAGTGTGAACTAAATGCTAGATATTTACATAAGTAGTTTGTTAATTTTCATTAATTGTCAATTTTAGCCTTTCTACTTACCCATATTTGTTGATCTGGAACCTACAGGCTGCACGATTGTGTTACATACTACGTTGTTGGAGTAGGTTGTTGGATCCTATGTATAATTTGTCCTGCTGACAGGAGCAACATGGGCACACAAATGAGTTTTATCTCATGTCTAACATAATTAGATTACATTCATTTTACAATCCTGTAAATGTTGTTATGGAATAGCAATAAATACATGGCATTTATTAACACATTCCCTCTGTTCATTGTTTAGATTGTATAACCTTGAATAAGGATTGTTGGCTATCAGGACCCTCACTGCTGCTAGGGATACTGAGGAGGAATTCACTCAAGCAGAAATGGGCAGTGTAAAATGCCTGAAAATGTCTATATCTAGCTTATGATATGCTGATATGAATTAGTATGGATCCGGCAGAGCGTAATATCACCTTAGCCATACCTCCAGTGGTGGTCTTACCTCGGGAGCTGGGTACCAACAGTGTAAAACCATTTGAAAATTACTTAATCGAGGGACAACACCAGAGTCTAGTCACTATAACCACTTCAATAGGATGAAATTGTAAAAAAAAAAATAAACTTATTCTGTTCACATCTCTATTACTGTACTGTATTTTTAACCGTAAAAAAATTAAATAACAGACGAGGTTCGAGTCTGTAGTTGCCAACTTTAGTTTGTGCTCTTTTACTGTTTGGCACTGAGCACAGGTGTTACTGATGCAGAATGCATCTGGATGCAATGTCCTGTGTGGGCATAATCTACTCGCATGCATCTCCAGGGAGGTTGCAGTTACAGAGATCGGTGCTATTGCATCTACACACCTTTAATTCTCCAGTTACTGTTACAGGTGTGGCTGGGTATTTCTGGGACACAAAATTTTACTGTTGCCAGTCACCAGACTAACTACAGCTACTCAGACTGCCACTAGAGGTGCTTCCTGGGGCAGTGCTGGACTGTGCAGCACTGACTTTTAGTGTCTCCGCCCTCTGCATGTGATATAGATCCAATGTGATCTTTTGTATATTCAAGGGAGCCCAAATTATTATTTCAAGTGCACTTGGAGGAGCGTAAATTCAGACACCTGTTGGTATTCAAAATAAGCCTCTCTCGTTTATTTTTCAGTATGTGTTTTTATACATTAAAAAGTAAGTCCTTATGTGAAAATACTCATAGGACAGTAGTAGGAAGGGAGTGAAAGGAGTACAGATAAGACATAGGGATGAACGTCATGTACATATAAAAGATAAGTTCCGAGAAAGAGAAAGAACAGACTGATTTAGGAGAGACAGCTCAGGTGCTCCTGGAACTAGACATATGTGGTCTTTAGTGTTGTTTTAAGCATTAAGCATTTCCTGAGTCCAAGTTAGCCAATTTTTATAAAGGATATCTAATATGACACCTATAAGCTTGAACCTTGGAATAAAAGTAAATTCTTTCACACATGGAGACACTGAACTTTCCTCGTAGAGATGTATTTATTCATTGCATCTCTATGAGGAGATACTGATTGGCCTGGCGTTTTGCTCCACCCACTGTCACGCCTCCTTGGCTGAGATCGTCAGAATTGACAATCTCAGCCATTCCAATGGATTGATAAGGGGAAAATAACTTTTTATATTTGTTATTTACTTCATATTTCCAATTCCAACAAACTAGGTCAAGGCAACAATCACAGACCTTGCCTTATTAAGTACAGATCTTTAATCATCCTGCTACTATTTATAATAATAAAAAAAAAAAAATAGTGGAGCGCTATATATTTAGTGTCAGAAACATTCCATACACACACATATATATATATATATATATATATATATATATATATATATATATATATATATATATAAATCACTTAGCACAGTGTTCTCTTTTGAGCAACTTCAATCAAGCGTATATCCCTTTAAACAAAGACATAAAGTACAAATGTGTGAAATCTTTTAAAACTGTTTAAAGTGCATGGATCGACAATTTAACACTCACAATTTCCAGAGCTATATGACCTAGCTCTGGTATATATTGCTTGTTGGTCCGTTTTGGGCGACCACTCCCCTCGTTGGTGTAGTAGTTATGGTGGTAACTTTTATTTTCCTTCCTTTTCCTCTAATTATCACCGTATTTTTTAATAAATTTGTTGGGTTGTGGGAGAATTAAACATTTAGTGTTGTACCTGCTATTTTCATAAAGATAATCTAATTAGCATATTTGCACAGAAAATTATTTGCAATCTCTTGACAGGATAACACACATCTTTTGCTATTTGTATCCTGCTATTATTACTATTACAGACGATAAACGTTTCGGCTACTTTATATCTTTTTTTTTTTTTCTGACGTTATGTTATGCAGTATTGCACCCAGACATTACATATTGTGTATTTTTTTTAAGATAAGTTCCGGGAATTGATAATATAAATATATATATGTGTGTGTGTATGTCTGTAGATAGATAGCAAAGGACTTTTTAAAACCTTAATTAATTATTTCTTTCTACTAACTTGGCATTAAAAGTTACTTGAATTGCTATACTCTGGGGCTGAACTTTTTCTCGCTTATGAGTAGTGTCTTAAATGTCGGGCATTCAATTCACATCTGCCACTAAACAATGGTGAGTGAAAATTCAGCCTGGCTAATAATACACCACTTGTTAGTGTGTCATGAACCCTCTAGATCTACAGTGTGTGTGCGTGTATTATATATGTATTTATTTATTTGCGTGTGTATATGTACTTTGTGCATATAATGAGAATAAACTTTATCTTAAAAATTGATCTATTCACAGGTTAATACAAATAGCCCAAGGAGTATCCTATTTCACACCGCTAGCTCTAGATTAAAAAGCAAAGAGTAAACCAGAAGTCCCTGAAATAGATTTAATGATGTATATGCTTGGGTTCTGAAACACTGTTGCTATCAATACAGAGAAATCAGTCTGAGGATAATAAATCACTTTACTGGATCTATTTAGAACCATTCTGTTTCTGGTAATGTTCTTACACGTAGCATAGTACTATTATTGACACAATGCATGATTCTAGCTTTAATGAATAGATTACATTTCTTTTAC